GCTATTGCTTCCTCTGCTATCTGCCATCATTTCAGGGGGGTGCTCTCTCTCTTGGGGGGGTGGGCAGAGGGCACCTATCTGAAATTGCTTCTTTCAGGTTGGGATCCCTGCTATACACACATACATATATTGTTTTTATTTTTTAGTTTCGGGGGAAGGTGATGTAGATGGATACGGGGGGCCTGGGTCAGGAAGTGGTGGGCGGGTTGTGGGGGCCCATCAGCAAAATCTTGCCCAGGGTCCACTTAATATTAAAGACGGCCCTGATATTAATGAAGGCATATGCACGAGGGAAGCAAAGCATTGGGGGAAAAGGAGTTTTTCCATGCCCTACATTGTAGTTTCCACTGTGCACAACAGCCTGTAATCTACACATAACACAACAGCGGCCATTTTAAAAAAGCTGTGTGGGGCCTGAGAGGACAACTGAAAAAAAGTATGTGTTTGTGTTTATATCCAGGATCTGCATATGCCTGCCTCATGTACACACGGTGTACATTGCTGGCATACAGTGTGGGAAATCATTATTTGATCCCCTGCAGATTTTGTAAGCTTTCCCACTTTCAAAAAAAATTAAAGGTGTATAATTTTTATCATAGGTGTATTTTAAATGATAGAGACAGAATATCAACCAAAAATCCAGAAAAGACACATGATACAAATGTTATAAATTGAGTTGCAGTTCAGTGAGTAGAATAAGTATTTGATCCCCAAGCAAAACATGACTTAGTACTTGGTGGAGAAACCCTTTTTGGCAAGCACAGAGGTAAGACGTTTCTTGTAGTCGATTACCAGGTTTGCACAGATCTCAGGAGGGATTTTGGTCCACTCTTCTTTACAGATCTTCTCTAAATTCTTCAGGTTTCTTGGCTGTCACTTGGCAACTCGAAGTTTCAGCTCCCTCCATACATTTTTTATAGGATTAAGGTCGGGAGACTGACTAGGACACTCCATGACCTTAATGTGCTTCTGCTTGAGCCACTGCTTTGTTGCCTTGGTGGTATGTTTTGGGTCATTGTCATGCTGAAATACCCATCCACAACCCATCTTCAGTGTTCTGGCTGAGGGAAGGAGGTTCTCATCCAAGATTTTACAATACATGGCCCCGTCCATTAGCACCTCAATGCGGCAAAGTTGGCCTGTACCTTTAGCAGACAAACAGCCCCAAAGCATCATGTTTCCACCTCCATGCTTGACTGTAGGGATGGTATTCTTACGGTCATAGTCAGCATTTTTCTTCCTCCAAACACGGCGAGTCGTGTTAATGCCAAAGAGCTCAATTTTGGTGTCATCTGACCGCAGCACTTTCTCCCAATCCTTCTCTGAATCATTCAGATGTTCATTGGCAATCTTCAGACGTGCCTCTACATGTGCCTTCTTGAGGAGGGGGACCCTGCGGGCGCTGCAGGATCTTAATCCATGGGGGTGTATTATGTTACCAATGGTTTGTTTGGTAACTGTGGTCCTAACTGCCTTGAGATGTCGTGAAGGGGTTAATTACATTTAGTCCATATGTTTGTTTATCTTTTTTGCGGTGTTTATACCTTGTCTCTTCCCAGTCTGTCTCCTTTGTTTCTTACATCTTTTGCTTTCTGTTCTTTCTTTTCTTGGGATATTTGTAACAGGCTGTTTTCTGTTCATTTTTTGTTGCTTGGTCCTCTCTTGAACTGCCTCTGGAGTAAACAAATAGGATCTTGACGTGGCTGGAGATCCACAGTCTCCCACTGAGTTTGAGACTTACGATTGAGTGTCTGAATGGAACTAAAGTTGGCCCTTTTTTTAGACTTTTTAAGGAAAGAGCGAGGTCTTTTTTTTTTTTTTTTTTTTTAGTGCTTGTATTGTAATATAGAATGTTTTTTCAGACAAGCTCTTACTTCCTTTAGAGAGGGAGATCAATACTTGTTCCTCATTTGTGACTATTGGCTTCATTAGATTCAGTGAACACTGGAAAGGCATGAAGATATACAGTATATATGTATATGTGTGATGCTTGGGGAATTTAGCACAATGGCGAGCACTAAGAAACCACTCCTTGAAGTTGTCTTTAACATGAAAAAAGACCGCATTTAAACAAAAAAAAACAGTTCACTTGACTTTCATCATAAACAACATGTTTTGTGTCTCACCGACATGAGGTTGCCCAGTACATTCCCAGTCTTAGTCTCAGGACTATTTCTCCACAAATACATTCCTTAGTATTGCTCAGTAGCTTTCCTCAGCCGCAAGCGTCTCCTCTCACACCTATGTGATGCAGCTGCATACCCCTCATGGGTCACTTGCTCTCTCTGTCTGTCCAACAGGTCCCTTGGGTGCCACCTACACTCTCGACCTCTCCCAGCCTCCCCTGGCTGTTCTACATGTGCTTCCAGCACGCACCAAAGTCTGCATGTGGCCGTGTGCCTCCTGCACACCCACTACTCTCTTGCGCTGTGGTCCAGAGTCCGAATAAGGCTGCTCTCAACCACATGATCAGCCTAGTCTGGTCATTGGCAACACCTGGCCCCAGGACTAGAGATTTAATTCCACCCAGAAGTCTTAAAGTGGCCATACACTGTGCAACCATCGCAAGACCTTAGTCTTGCGATGGTTGTAAAGTGATTAAAAAAACGTACGATCTGCCCATTTGGACAGGCAGATCGTACTCTCGATCATCGCAAAGCCCGCCCCCCTGAGGGGCGGGCTTCCGATGACCACAATGCTGAACGGGCAGTGTACGCGTGCGCACACCGGCCCGTTCGGCATTTGCCTCCCTAACACCGTTCTACAGTAGAAACGGTCGCACGTCTTCGTTCACACTGATCGTACGAGAATCGAGCAGTGTATGGGCACCTTTAGAAATCTTCAGAGTTCCAGATCCCAGCTATAATCCCAAAAACCTGGGAGAAACTGAAAAGCCAGCTTCTTACCTGTAAAACTATTCACATTCTGGAACATCTCAGTCCCTCAGGCTGAGAGTTATGGGTGACTGTGTTGCTAAATTACACCGTGGCTGTTAGGGTGACAACCCCTGGCAGGTGACACGCTTCCCTGAGGGGCGGAGTCTAAGTACCAGCCGGTGTTCACCAGAGCTCCTGATGGTGGAGATGGGCTAGGCTGCTTGCTGGTACCAGGTCGCGATCCCCAGGGTTGCCCTGCCAAGGGATGGATGAGAACAGGAGGGCTCCAATGAGGAGACAGTAGTCAGACCCAGGCAGAGTTCAAGGCAGGCGGCTAGCAGAGGGTGGTCAGATGGTCCCAGGTCAGCAACGATTAATCAGAGGATAAACGCAGGAGTCAAGAGCAAAGTCGGCTCCAGGCAGAAGATCAGGGCAGGCAGCAAGCGAAGAAGGGTCAGGCGGTCTGGGTCAGCAACGACAAAACAGCAGAAGTACAAGCTCTTAGACAAACAGGAAGCTGGCAAAAAGACACAGCACCAGCTCCTTGCAGAGCTAGTGCTTAAATAGCCTTCTGAATCAGAGACGACACGCCCAGTCTCAGGGTACACTGGAAGTCCTGGTCTGGAATCTTTTACTATTACTAGCCATACTGGCCTGGACCCTGTGAGATCCATTAGTAGCGGTTCTTCTGGAAATCCTGGCTGGGATTCTCAGAGGAGAACAGTAAACCCTGACCGGTACTCTGAGCTTACCTTAACAGTGGCATTGCCATACACTACCACATATGGTACAAGGTGGCAGCAATGTAAATAAACAATAACAGGTGTGCTCACTGTAAATATACAATATTTTCCCTCCGATATAAAAAAGCGGCACAAATATTGAAAACTGCAACGGTTGGAAACATATTTCGCAATACTGTATGATGATCATGTGGATTCGGGTGTGAAATATCAATGTTGTCTAATATGTTATATTTGATTCTATAATGAACCCCTTTAACAGGATTTACTTATTTTACCTAGGCCAGTCTAATAGTGATTCAGTCTTGTGTGCATTGTCATATGCCACTTCTGAATAAGTGTTTATTTGTCTAATAGATGAGCAGTCATAACTAAGTGAGCATTCAAGTAGCTATCTTCTATTCAAGAGTTTGTCTCTCAGGTAATCATAGACAAACAACTGTTCACTGTAGCTGCATGTAATGGTAAGTTCCACTATGATAGAAGGTAGCATCCCCGACACTCACTATTTCCTTGTCATAACTGTAATTTACTTGCAAATTTCAAAAGCAAGATCTGCAGTTGACACATAAAATGCACTTGAAAACTGAAGAAGGAGCTTCTAATCACAGTATTAACCATCCCACAGTGCTGCTCACCTAAGCTGGTGGATGAGGATGACAAATGTGAAGTCTTTCTTTTGACACTTCATATTCTCTAAGTGACTCTTAGCCCCCAGCTCAGCTGAGCAGTAGTGATGAGGTTCAGGTTTACAGCTACCATGAGTTCCACCAAAAAGTAAGCCGGTTTGCCAGCAGAAATAAGGAACAGCCTATAATGTAGCGCACAGCCTTTTACCTGGTCAGCGGAGTCATTAATTTGAAGGATTGGATAACCCAGCTCCCTTTCTACGAATAGGTGGACAAACTGCTAGTATGTGTTGGAACTATTAGGGTGACATATGGGTTTTTTTTAATTATTATTTTTGCCATTGGTGCATGCCCCTTATGGCATTGTTCAGCTTTCCATGCCTTTTTATTTGACAATAGATTGCTTATTAGCCCTACAAATGGGCCGAATTGAAAAACTTTATTCCCTATAAATTTAATTGGTGTTTGCCACACAGTTCAGACTTTGGACTTCCAGCAAGATTTGTAGAACTGTTTGTGACCTGAACCCAGCCAGATTGGCTGAACAGTCCTAGTTTAGAATAATTTGTTAATCTAGTATTTAGAAGGATCCTTTTCTCTGCCATTTTTCAGGTGGTGGATAATACACTGAAGCTACCTTTCTTGCTATACTCGACATAGATTTAATTGTCAGTCTACCACCTTACTGTTGACAGTTATTTCTTAGCTTGTCTGCTGCCTGTAGTATCTGATGTTCTTTATGTCTGTTACAGGAACATCAGCAACTGAGGATGGGAGATGGTGAACCAAACCCATATGTGAGGATCAGCAGCACTAAATATATTTTACGGTAGGAATTTATTATGCTGCAAAAAACGTTCTAACAGTTCTAACAGAAATAAATATGCATTGCACTCAGTAGTGCAGATTTTAGATATGATGATGGGTCTGGGCCTATGAAAACACTTTCAATTTAGACCAAAACTCTAATGGGTATAAAAATAATGAGTATGGTAAATTTGGTAAAATGCTTCAGCTGTGAAATTACCATTTTCACTGTCTGAAATGTGCAAAATTGGAATCTCTAAATTTTTGCTCACTGAGCTGCCTAGGCAAAATCTGCTTGATATAAATTAGGGTTAAGATATGTGTTTTGGTTGAGGGGAAAGGGGGTGTATTTAATGTTTAATGTTTCATGTAAATCTTGTGTGAATGTTGTATGGCTCTAAACATTTAAAAATAAACCTCTTTGTGTTTTTGTATTTTATTGTTTGTGTACAGGCTTTTTTAATTAGTTTGCTCATTATTCATTGTTTTTGTTGTTGTTTTTTTTGCTTCTTGAAAATACCTAAAATAATGAGGCTAACATGGTCTGTTTTTTGTCCCAAGAACAGGAGCTTCTGTAACTCTCAGGGGCCATTTAAAGCCCATTGCACCTTTTTCCCGGCCGATCGTTGTAAAGAAAAAACAGGCAGCGATGCCTGTTTACATACAAGTGATCCGCCGGCTATAAAGTCCGGCGCATCGCTTGTATAACGTGCCGGTATGTGTGGCCCCCCTCCCGCTTGTCCCGAGCTTTGCACAGAGGGATATCCGTACACGATCTCTCGATCCGGTCCCCTGTCCGGTGTCATGATCTCCCTCCGGTCCCCTCTCCGGTGTCAGAATGCGGAAATGATGTACATTCATCAGCTTCTTTGGTAGTCTCCAGGTGACATTAGGGGTCTTGTAGACCCATGATGTCTCCATAAAGAGGACCTGTCACATATCTTTGCTATCACATAGGGGGTTTCTTATTGTTATTGTGATAACAATAAAGTTAAATGAAAACAAAAAATAGGAAAAAAAATAAAAGTTGCAAAAAAAAATTAGTCACACATAAAAAATAATAAAAACACAGTCTCCACCCATACATACATGCGTGCAAACATGCGTCGGGTGCGCATAGGTCTGAAAATGATGATTGCACCCATTACACCGCACATGTTACATATCGCCGCGAACGTCAGAGTGAGAGCAATAATTCTAGGGCCATTAAACACTGATAACACTAAACTGATGAGCGTCGCCTATGGTAAATTTTTGATATGGTAGATATGGGGTTTTGCGGGTGCGCGCAATTTTAAGGCTTGACATGTTTGGTGTCTATTTACCCGACGTGACCCCATCTGTTATATTTTACCAAAAAAATTGTTTAATAATGTATTAACGTAATGTGAAAAATAAAAAATCAGTAATTTTTCCTAATATAGTAAAAAAAAAAATCCCAGTGGTGATTAAATACCACCAAAAGAAAGCTCTATCTGTCCCCCAAAAAATGGTATAAAATTCATTTCAGTACAGCGTTGCATGACAGAATAAATGTCAGTCAAAGTACTGCAGCGCTGAATACTGAAAAATGGCCTGGCCAGGAAGGGGTGTAAACACCTGGTCAGCAAGTGATTAAAAACCACCAAAACGACCTTGACTTCACCTTCCTTATTTACATGAATGAATTTTGGCAAACATGCAAAATTTTGTTGAAACTTAATTTTTTGCAGATTTTTTTTGTGAAATGAAAACTTTCCATTTTGCTCATTCCTAAAAATAGATATGAATAAATGTCTTTTTTAATATATTTTTTATAGTCCTAGTGTCACGCCTGTATGGATAGAGGTAACGTGGATCGCAGCTGCGGAGGCTTCTCAGGTCTGGTACCCTGGTTTCACTCTCAATTTTAACAGAGAGTTAGGTTCCTTGCATCACAGCCTCAGGTTTAGATAAATAAGGGGGAGTGGTGAGGGTTAAATTTAAGCAAGCTATTTGAGGAGCAGTGGATATCGTCAATGGACAATGGATTAGCAGGACTTAGATGGTTATAAACAATATTAGCAATGAACAGTCCCCAGTATTGCTTTAAGCTTTGCAGGTTATACTCAAAGACAGTCTTGATAAGGTGTGCAACTGCAGTCAGAGTACTTGCGCTTTGAAGGTAATGGCAAAATGGGAGTAGCTGGGGGTCCTTGGTGGTGTCCGGTTCGGTTGAGAAGGCTGGAGGGCACAATCTGGAGGCTTGGAGGGTCCCAGGAGACAGCAGGTGTTCTGACTCAATATTGGAACGCCATGCTGTCTCGTCTGGGCATTTAAATAGGGCTCTGAAGGGAAGGAGGAGCCGAGGCACGCATTGGTGCACTTCCGCGTTCCACGGTGGAGCGCACGCGGCCCCGAAACCCAGAAGTGACGAGCGTGCGCTCCACCTTGGAATGCAATCGGCCCAACGAAGGAGCGGCTGACTGCCGCATCCTCCGTCCTCGCTGGCTGTTGACAGCGGCGGCCGTTACAGAACCCCCCCCTCAAGGGAGCACCTCCGGGGCTCCTGTCATGAGAAGGGCGGTCAGGGTACCTACGGTGAAAAATTATAATCAGACGGGGTGCATGGACGTCCGAGGAGTCCTCCCAGGAGTCGTCCAAAGGTCCGTACCCCCGCCATCGTATCAAGTATTGTAGACCAGAACCCCGTTTCCTGGAATCGAGGATTTTCTCCACCTCGTACTCGACCTCCCCTTGTACTTCGACTGGGGGTGCAGGGAGTGGTCCCCTGTCGGGGAACGGGCTGGGCTTGAAGAGTTTGAGGAGTGAAACATGGAAAGAAGGGTGTATCTTCCAGTCCGGAGGTAGTATCAGTCTAACAGCGTTAGGATTCATCACCTTCTGTCGGCCAAGCTTCCATGAGGGAATCTTCAGTCGCAAGTTTCGAGTGGAAAGCCACACCATGTCCCCCGCGACGTACGCTGGAGGGGCAGTCCTGTGGGAGTCGCAGCAACGTTTTTGTTTTTCCTGTGCTGCTTCCAGGTTGGAACAGAGAATGCCTGTGGTTTGACTCAGAGTCGAGAAGTAGTCTTCCAACGCGGGAACGTTGTTAGGTAAGAAGGAAGCAGGCAAAGTGTTAGGGTGGAATCCATAGTTCGCAAAGAACGTAGAGACTTGGGTAGAAGCACTGGATGCGTTGTTGTACGCGAATTCAGCGAATGTGAAATGAAAACTTTCCATTTTGCTCATTCCTAAAAATAGATATGAATAAATGTCTTTTTTAATATATTTTTTATAGTCCTAGTGTCACGCCTGTATGGATAGAGGTAACGTGGATCGCAGCTGCGGAGGCTTCTCAGGTCTGGTACCCTGGTTTCACTCTCAATTTTAACAGAGAGTTCGGTTCCTTGCATCACAGCCTCAGGTTTAGATAAATAAGGGGGAGTGGTGAGGGTTAAATTTAAGCAAGCTATTTGAGGAGCAGTGGATATCGTCAATGGACAATGGATTAGCAGGACTTAGATGGTTATAAACAATATTAGCAATGAACAGTCCCCCCGTATTGCTTTAAGCTTTGCAGGTTATACTCAAAGACAGTCTTGATAAGGTGTGCAACTGCAGTCAGAGTACTTGCGCTTTGAAGGTAATGGCAAAATGGGAGTAGCTGGGGGTCCTTGGTGGTGTCCGGTTCGGTTGAGAAGGCTGGAGGGCACAATCTGGAGGCTTGGAGGGTCCCAGGAGACAGCAGGTGTTCTGACTCAATATTGGAACGCCATGCTGTCTCGTCTGGGCATTTAAATAGGGCTCTGAAGGGAAGGAGGAGCCGAGGCACGCATTGGTGCACTTCCGCGTTCCACGGTGGAGCGCACGCGGCCCCGAAACCCAGAAGTGACGAGCGTGCGCTCCACCTTGGAATGCAATCGGCCCAACGAAGGAGCGGCTGACTGCCGCATCCTCCGTCCTCGCTGGCTGTTGACAGCGGCGGCCGTTACAGAACCCCCCCCTCAAGGGAGCACCTCTGGGGCTCCTGTCATGAGAAGGGCGGTCAGGGTACCTACGGTGAAAAATTATAATCAGACGGGGTGCATGGACGTCCGAGGAGTCCTCCCAGGAGTCGTCCAAAGGTCCGTACCCCCGCCATCGTATCAAGTATTGTAGACCAGAACCCCGTTTCCTGGAATCGAGGATTTTCTCCACCTCGTACTCGACCTCCCCTTGTACTTCGACTGGGGGTGCAGGGAGTGGTCCCCTGTCGGGGAACGGGCTGGGCTTGAAGAGTTTGAGGAGTGAAACATGGAAAGAAGGGTGTATCTTCCAGTCCGGAGGTAGTATCAGTCTAACAGCGTTAGGATTCATCACCTTCTGTCGGCCAAGCTTCCATGAGGGAATCTTCAGTCGCAAGTTTCGAGTGGAAAGCCACACCATGTCCCCCGCGACGTACGCTGGAGGGGCAGTCCTGTGGGAGTCGCAGCAACGTTTTTGTTTTTCCTGTGCTGCTTCCAGGTTGGAACAGAGAATGCCTGTGGTTTGACTCAGAGTCGAGAAGTAGTCTTCCAACGCGGGAACGTTGTTAGGTAAGAAGGAAGCAGGCAAAGTGTTAGGGTGGAATCCATAGTTCGCAAAGAACGTAGAGACTTGGGTAGAAGCACTGGATGCGTTGTTGTACGCGAATTCAGCGAGAGGCAGTAAGGAGGACCAGTCGTCCTGGAAATGGGTGCAGTAGCATCGGAGGTACTGCTTAAGTGACTGATTAACGCGTTCCGTTTGCCCGTTAATTTGGGGGTGGTAGGCAGTGAACATGCGATGGTCTATGTGCAAAGCCTCACAGAGGGTTTTCCAAAACCTGAAAACGAACTGGCTCCCCCTATCCGAGATGATCCGAGAGGGCACACCATGGAGCTTGAGGACATGGGCCACGAAGGCGTGTGCGGTCTCTTTTGCCGTCGGTAGTTTTTTCAGAGGGGTGAAGTGAGCCATCTTTGTCAACATGTCAACTGTGACCATGATGGTGTTGGCACCTTCTGACCTAGGAAGGTCGACTATGAATTCCATAGAGACGGC